TTATAAATAAAACTTAACTTTGTGAAAACATTGTTTCATTTTTTCAATAAAAAATCATTTACTTCTCATCTATAAACACATTGTTTTCATAGTTTAATGGGATGAACATGCTTGGTGCAGAGGTATTAATTTTTTTTAATATCAGGCTGGACGACACTTAGAAGTCTTAAAACTCTGAGTTTAGTCATTTTCAATCTGTTTGTGTGGAAAGAAACTGGGTAACTGCACTGAATCCTCACTCTACTAAATATGATGTTGGAGGCAGCAATAAAGCATATCTTGACTTTGTCCACAGTTCAGGGTAGCAGGCAGATTGGGGCGGGGGGGAAGAGAGACAACCAAAAATCTTGATTTGATTTTTAAAAATTTGCCCTCAACTCTTTATTTCGTAGTAGTAATCTATAATCTCCTAATGCCTCTCCCCCCGCATAGCTGCCTTCTTCATCACTGTCTGCCTGGATCATTCCAGCATCCCCAGGAGACAGTCCTGCCCACTTTGGGAATCAATGATCTAGAGCAGTGGTTTTCAACCTTTCCACAGTGCGGGCCCAGCGAAAACAGGAAAACCACCTTGGGGACCATTAAGGCAGAAACAAAAAGCACCATAAACATAATACAGTATTCTCTGTATTAGTTTCCAGAGACGATACCAAAAATAATGTCCAAAACAACCAGAAACCAAGCAACAAAAAATGCCAACAAAGCAAAATACTGAAATCAGCACAGGGTGGCTCCCAGACAGCTCCCACCAAGCTATCTCTTCCCTCCCTGCCCTCCATGGCACTGGCACACCCCCCATGACTGTGATGCCAAGCGAGGGTGGTAGAACACAGCCAGTCCCCATGCCAGCCTGTGGCAAACAGGATGAGACCCTCCCATGAACCAGCAGGAAATCTACCACAGACTGGCGCCAATCCACATACCAATGGTTGAAACCACTGTTCTAGAGTACTCAAATATTTTACATACTTAATAGCTATCAACTCAGAAGGGGGCAGATTTGCACATCACACTAAGCCAGCATGGGATGGTTGTTCCCTGAATAATGTGGCAAACAATCACACTTGCCAGGACTTATTTTCCTCCTCATTCCCCTTGCCACCTCTGGAAAATATCTCGGGACATTTTTTGAGAGAACCCTTCATTGCTTTAGCCCCATTTCTATGTCAGCTCTGTTTCTTCAACTGGTCCGTTGTTATTACTGGCTGCTGAGTGGAACTCTCCTCTTTGCATCAGATCACCTAATGGAAATAATTTTCAGAGCCCTCATGAATGTCCACCAGCTTCTTTTTCCCTGGAGAAATTTTGCTGCTATGCAATAGCACAAGGTCAACTCTTCAGCTTCATGCACTGACATCCCTTTCTTGTCACTGTTCTACTCAAGTTCATTTTCCATTTCAGAGCATGCCTTTTAAAACACTGTTTCACTTTACACCAGAATAAGAACAGCAGCTGACAAACCCCCTTCTCTAACCCATTTTTGCCCATTTCTCTTTCCTGCTTGTTGCCTTCCTCTGCTGCTAGTTGTCATAATTTGCTATTTAAATTTTTTAAGAGAGAATGCAATGAGAAGGGATGAAAGAATATAGTGGCACAAACAAGATCACATAAAGTTGCAATGGTTTTCATTGCTATGACCAGGTGGTTCTCCAGCTATTCCTGGGAAGTCACAATAAGCCACCATGGCTACCAATCAGTCTTAAAACAAGCCACAGATTTTTTTTCAGCAAGCCTTCTTTGTAAAAAATTAGCCATTCTGCAGAAACCATGATCAGCCACGGTGGGTTGGTTAGAGGTGCAAACCAGGTTTCAGGCTGCAATCTAATGCAGTTAAAAATACAGGAAGATATGTGTTTTCATTTCAGTTCAGTTCAGTAAACAGCAGAACCTCTGTATCCACAGGGATAGGTTCCAAATCCCCCAGTGGATACCTGAAACTGTGGATAGTACCAAACATTACACTATACATGTTTCACATACCTGTGATGATGTTTAATTTATAAATTAGGCACAATAAGACATTGCACCACAAGCCTAGAAAGCGCCAGCTGCTGCAGAAGGGCTGGCAAGCAGCCTGCTACTCTGCTGCTTCCAAATCTCCTTCTATCAGCCAAGGCTGAGCTTCAGCTTATCCCTCCTCTCTCCTAACCCCAACAACAGCTCTATTCCTGGGTGCCTGCCCCCAGAGTTCCACATGGGAGTTGCTAGTGCTGGGTCCCTCACTCCCACCCATCCAACACGTATACAAGGGGTGGCCGAGCCAAGACTCGCGAGCCACATGCAGCCATTTGCTGCCTATGCACACCCACTTGCAGCTCTCAGACACCTGATACTTATCACTCTGGTCAGCAGTGGTTAAGGAAGAACACAGTTGCTGAGTCAGCAGATATGGTGGGTCTGCTGTGCCTGAAAGTTATTTTATTGTATGCTATTTTCTTCTGCAGCCTGGTGTGTGCTGGCTTGGAATTCTGGGAGTTGCTGTCCAACACATCTGGAGGCACCAGGATGGATAAGGTCACATATTGTCTAAAATTCAGTCCAGTGCATGTAGACACACATGTAATCATGCAAGTTGCCACTAACCTGGGACATGTAGTAATTGTTCCCAAAGATCAGACAAAATCCATCATGGCAGGCTCTTAAGGCCTTTACAAACTTACTATTTTACTTTGCCATTCCCCTGATTATATTTCATCCAACTACACTGCAGCTGCAGTTGTCTGATTTAATTATTATTTTATGCTGGTATTTGCTATTTTCAGGATTACTGCTATTACTGCCGTATTATATTTTTATAGTTTTATTATATCTGCTTTGATTTTGTGTTTTATTAATGTATTCCAGCTTGGGATGACTTCTGCCCCAAAAGGTTGCCAAGAAATACCATTTTTAAGGGGCAAATTCAACCTATCTCATCCTAATATTGCTGCACTGGATAATTCTTTTTCAAGGTAGGTGGTTCTCTTTATGCCTCTGTCTTCTAACCTCTATCCTGTTAAAGCCAGAAGTCAGAACACTAGAAGTACATCAACCAAAATGCTGCATTTCCCCGGACAACTCAACAGAAAGCACTATGATGGTGGCTGCATATACGCTATTCTTTGTTAAGTCAGAGAACCCCCATAAAGGAATTATGTTTCTTCTCAGTTGAAAGAAATTCACAACACTATGACAACTCTGTTTCCTTCTCTTTGTGTTCCCCATGCTGGTCCTGTGTTATCACAGAAAGATGGGGAAGAAGAGATGGTGTTTCTAGACAATCAAGCAAAGGACTGGCCACCACTTTTTAGAAACCAATTGAAAAAACCATGCAAAAGTGCACCTAACTTCAGGGAAATCATCCAATATTCGCTTGCTCACTTGTATACACATGGATGTCACTGACAGGGGTAACGTTTACATTTGAGAAGACTGACACCATAGCATGTCCCTGGTCATACATAATAGGTCAAGAGGATCCCTTTTATTTTCAGTCTTCATCCCGCATCCAAAGTTTAGTTTCTGGTAATCTGATCTTCCAAGAATCATGTGTTTAAAAAAACAAATCAAAACCTATTTCTTTTATTTACCTAAAATGTTGCTTACTCTAAGACAAAATCATTTGCAGTCTACTCAAGTACTCAACCATTTCTACTCAAGGACCCCGCACTTTGGCCTTTGAAGCAAGAATCACAAGGCTGTCCAATAACTACATAAGTTGGCTATTCTTTAACCCAGCACAGTTTTCACTACAACCATGGCATGCTTTACCACATTTCACTCTTTTACACTTGCTCTTGTAGATCTGATGCACACTGCAGTTACTTCAAATGGAAGGCAGTCCCAGTAACAGCTGCTGAAAACAAAATCCAAATGAAAGGAAGCTGCACAGTTAATCTGTGCCATCAACTTTACTACTCAAAGCTCAAAAATGTGATCCAATTTTCATTAAATATTTGGTTTAATACAGTGTTCATCAATACCTCAAACAGGAAAGAATTCATTTCTAGTTGCTGACATTCTGAAAATGACTTATAACTTAATTTTTAAGTTCTTGGCTGTTCATTACCATCTTTAACTAACACTGAAAACTAAATTCCAAAGCACACAGCTTAGTTACAGCAGCAGAAACAGAGGGATATGTAAAACTGAGTAATTTCACATGTGGAAATAAGCAACCTGAATGACACCATAATACGGCAGAAACATTATATAAACATCAGTTATTTACACGTTGTAAGCTTTAACATACACATCAAAATTGCATGTGCACGATCAACTGAAAATATGGAGTATGCATATGAAATCTGTATTGCATGAAATAAATATACAATCAAATATTTATGGAACATTACACTTTTTAAAATGGAAAGAGTGAGTTAAATATTCGTTTTCTTGTATAATTTAATCCAGTGCCTTACCACCCTGGTAGCAATTTCATTCTAGTCTTCCCTAACTTGTTGCCTTCCAGACCAGAATTCCCAGCTGAGATGATGAGAGCTGTTGCCCAACACATGTGGAAAGCACAAGACTGGGAAGACGCTTTAATCTATATAATCAAGTTGTCACTGAAATAATACAGCTGCTTCCCCATCAGTAAGATTGCAAACGGGGACTCAAATGAGTAGGTGCTTCTCCCTACCTCCCCATTCAAGGGAAAAGATTTTAGCATTGTGTACCAGATACCTCCCCTGCTCATCAACATTACACTGACCCTGCATTGTGGAAGGTCAATGGGGTTACTATAAAGAGGGTAATATTGATGCAACTGCAAATTGGGTTCTTGCATTGGATCCTAGTTGCAGTGAGAAGGAATTCCCGTGCTCCCTACCTCATATGGGAGCAGAACGGTGCTTTTTACAATTGCTGTATAATTCTTTGTAAACGAATCTCGATATTTGTGAAATGGGAAATGATAAATACATTAAGTTCCACTAAATAAATATTAACCTACACAGGCAAATGCAGTAGATTGCAAAGCCGTTAAGGGGGGGGGGGCAATCGGTCTCCCCGTTACTCACATGGGCTCCAATGTTTTGCTGAGCCAGGATTTCAGCGCCTCGAAGTTTTCTATGATCATTTTAGCCACCATCCAGAGCGGCCGAGCCCCGCCTCTCCAGGCAGCAATGGCAAAAGGGGGCCGCGAGGGCCCAGGGCCCGAACCGAAAGAGGGGCGGGACCAGCAGCGGCAGTTGACACGACAGCCCTCCTCGGCGGCCCGAACGCGGTCTCCGGACCAGGCCGTGCAGCCCCGAGTGCGCGCTTGGCCTCGGCGGCGGCGGCCTGGCGTCGATCCTGGCGGACTGCCGCCCGTTTGCCCGGCAGACCCGCGCGTGCTCAGCGCTCGCTCGTCCTCCCACTCCTCCCCCACCCCCCGCACTTCTCTCGCGCAGCCACCGCTGCCGCCGCCGCCGCGCCAGAACAACTAAGATGGTGGCGTGGAGCTGTCGCGAGACTGCGGGAAACCTCGCGAGCGGGAGACGAGAAGGGTGAGAGGGCGGCGGGCGGGGCAGGGAGGAGACTGCGTCCTCCAGGGCAGGGCGGCCGTGCTGGCGCGCTCGCCGTTGCGGCTGCGTTCGCCAACGGGGCTCTTCTTCCTCTTCGTCTTTCCACAGGAAAGAGGATTCCAACCCCCCGCCCCGGAAACTGTAAGAAAGGGCATACCCCGACTCTGCCAGCTTCGGGACGTGTGCTTCCTGTTCGTCTCATTCGTCGTGGCCTCACCTGTCTTCTAAGGCGAGGGCCGCGCTCTTGCCCTGACATCTTAGAAAAGTTTTCCTCAGGAGGCGAAGACTGGCGCACGGGGACTGAAGGGGGTGGTGAACAGCCCGTGAAATAACGTGTATGGTCAGACCTTTGGCATTCTTGCATGCACGAATTAGAATTTCACCGCTGTGCAATCGCGTATGGACACCCACTTCGCGTATCTCCATAATTGCAGCTCAGTCTGTTTAGAACTACCATATGTTTGCGACGCTTCTGTGTTCCACAAAACTTCTGTTTATTTAGTTTTTATACCACCCAATAATCGAGGCTTTCTGGATGGTTAGCAAAAGTTGAAAAGATAAACACAAATTTAAAAGAACAAAATATTATATCGTTTTCTAATGAGCTTGATTGTACAACATGGCCAAAATATGTGAGTTTCAACTTTGTTATCTTGTCGACCAAGGGATGTGCCTGGTTTAATATGCTATAGCACCTGCTTGTTCGACACCCCCACTGTCCATGGAATGTGCAGGAGCCTCCGCCAGCACCACAGCTTGAATAAATCGATTTTCCTCTTGTCTGACTTTTTCATTGTCCAACTGTAGATTGTAGGATCCTATAGGAAAAATGATCAGTCAGACCAGTCTGCACTTGGTTGCCAAGCTGATGTTCTTGTTTTTTCACACACAATTCATGCTTGTCATTGCCAGAAGACCTAGTGAAATCCATTGCTTTATTTCTGGACTTCATTCATTGCTGCAAGTAATCAGTGATCCCAGGAAACAATTCCTCTTCAATTTCCACATTATCAACTGCTATTTTGATGGCTTCATTCTGTGCAGTTGCCTAGATCTTCATATTTTGATGTTCAGAAGGAGGTCAAACTTCTCACTCTCTTTGATTCTTAGGCTCAACTTAGTACTAAAACCTCTCAAGTCTCAGTGGGATTTGCTTCTTAGATACAAAGTATCTGAACCTTAGTATTGCAACCCTATAGTGCTAGAGAATTCCAGGTTCAATCCCTGACATCAGGGTTTAGAAAGAATCTTTCCTTAAATCCAGTGTGGTGTAGGGGTTAAGAGCTGGGACTGGGACTCAGATGATCTGGGTTCTAGTCCCCACTCAGCCATGGAGCCAACTGGGTGACTTTGGGCCAGTCACAGACTCTCAGCCCAACCTACCTCACAGGGTTGTTGTTGTGGGGCTAAGATGGAGGAGGAGATGTAAGCTGCCTTGAGCCCTTTGTAGGAAAAAGGCAGGATATAAATCGAAAAATAATAAATAAATCCTAGAAATCCAGTCAACAATATCTGCCAGTATCAACAATACTGAGCTACTCTGACTTGGTATAAGGACAGCCTCCTACATTCCTATTGTCAGTAGAGTTTATTTCCAGGTGAATGTGCACTAATGATTTACTAATGAGCAAGCTCATTGAACCCAATGTGGTTTAATTCTGAATAAACATATGTAGGCTTGCACTATTAAATGTTATGGTTATTCAGAAATAATTTATATCCTGTTGATTTAAATAGGCTCATTTCTGAGAAATGCATATGTTTAAGACTGTGGCGAAAGTGTGTTTGCATATTTTTCCATCCCATTCCCTCTCTTGCTTCCTTTTCAGTTTATGTTCCATACAAATAATGTTTTAGATATAGATTGTTTAATTCAGGTCCAGACTGTAACTTTATGGAATAAGCTGTTCTTTATAGCTATGTATACATGTACACATGCATTCATAACGACTACTGATAGCATGGGGAAAATAATTATTTTCAGTGGTATACAGTATTCAAATTATTTTCCTTGATTTCATAGAATCGTAGAATAGTAGAGTTGGAAGGGGCCATGAAGGCCATTGGGTCCGAACTCCTGCTGTTGCAGGACACCAAGTTACACCATCCCACTCAGATGGCTGTCCAGTTTCTTTCTGAATGTCTCTAGTGTGGGAGAGCCCACCACCTCTAGGCAGCTGGTTTCACTGTTGTGTTGTTCTTTCCTGATATGTAACCTGAATGTGGGTTGTTGCAACTTGACTTGAGTATTCCATGTCTTGCATCCTGGTATCAGCAAGAAGAGATCTTGAACCTCCTCCTTGTGACATCCTTTGAGGTACTTATAGAGGGATATCATGTCCCCACTCAGTCTTCTCTTCTCAAGGCTGAACATGCCCAGTTCTCTCAGTCTCGCCTCACTGGGCAGTGTTTACAAACCCTAGATCAGTTTTGTTGCCCTCCTCTGCACCCTTTCTACTTTTAATTCATTTTTCTGAAATATTGGTGTCCAGAACTGGACACAGTATTCCAGATAAGGTCTGACTAGTGAGGAGTATAGGGGAACTACTACTTATTGTGATTTGGAAGTAATACTGCTATCAATGCATCCCAAAATAACATTTGCTTTTTTTTTTTAACTGCTGCATCACATTGTTGGCACATATTTAACTTGCTGTCCACAATTACCCTGAGGTCTTTTTCAGTTCTGTTGAGCCACATATTCTCCATCTAGTATCAATGCATTTGGTTTCTTAGGTGGAGGACTTAGCACTTGTCCCACCAGTTACCTCCATCCAGTTTAAGAAGGTGCCATTGATGAGCACTCTTTGTGTCTGATTTAGCAGCCAATTTTGGATCCACCTAATAATTTTTCTACCTAGGCCAGTTTTTGCCAATTTTCGTATCAGAATGTTGTGGAGCACTACGTCAAAAGCTTTGCTAAAGTCTAGGTAGATTATGTCCACAAAATTGAGCTTAAATTAGTCTGAAAAGATCTATTTTTGATGAATCTTTGATGGCTTCTATTAATCACTGCATTTTCATCAATATGCTTGCAGACAGATTTTTCAAGTAAATTTCTCCAGAATCTATCCAGGGATGGATGTCAGACTAACAGGTCTGTAGTTCCCAGATTCATCTTTTCCCCCTTTTTGAAGAAAGGACCAATGTAAGCCCTTTGCAAGTCATCTGACACTTCTCCTGTTTTCCAAGATTTATCAAAGATAATAGCCAATGGTTCTGAGAGTTCCTCTGCTAGCTCTTTCGTTACTCTGACATGGAGTTAATTGGACCCTGGAGATTTGGAAGTGTTTATTCCATCTAGATATCCCTTGACCATTTGTCTGTCAATCTTGGGCTGCCATCTCTCACTTTCAACTTGTACTTCTCCTTGGTTGTAGATTTTCTTGTGGGAGAAGACGGGGGCAAAGTAGGAATTGAGTGCCTCTGCCTCTTCCTTGTCATCTGTTATTGCTCTGCCATCCACTTTAAGTAGCTGGACACCCTTCTCTTTCACATGACTTCTATTCTGGGTGTATCTGAAGAAGACTTTTTTGTTGTTCTTAGCCTCCCTTGCTATTCTCAGTTCCTGTTTTAGCCTCCCTGATGCTGTCCCTGCAGTTTCTTGCTGTTTGTTTATATTCTTCCTTTGTGGCCTGGCCCTGCTTCCACTTCTTCTGCATGTTCATTTTTTGTTTCATGTTATCACTTAATTTTTTTTGTGGAGCCACGTGGGCTTCTTCTGTTGTCTTCTGCATTTTTTTTCTTTTTAAAATTGTTCGTAGTTGTGCTTGGAGAATCTTCGTTTTCAAGATTTCCCAGCCCTCTTAGACTCCTTTTGCCTTAAGAGTGAGTTGCCATGGCTTTCTTTAAGTGCAGGATATGTGTTAGGCTGCAGTTAACCTTTGTCCTCTTTATAATTATGAATTCAAGTATCACATGGTCAACTCCTCCCCCCCCCCCCCCCCCGGCATTCCCATGGGTGCTATTTTGTCTACCAGGCCATCCCTGTTGGTATTAAATCAAGGATAGCTGATCCTCTTACTTCTTCCTCTACATTCTGCTGGAGGAAGTTGTCAAAGTAGTTATCTGGAACAGGGGTGGTTAGACACCAGGTTCTGCTGATCTACATTATTTTTTTAGAACTCGGGGCCACCGACCAGAGTCGCATGCATAATGGTTCTTGTGCAGAGAAGCAATCACTTAAATAATGGAACTATTCTGAGTTTGTGTACAGCATAGCAGTTTGCTTTCAGTACACAGTCCATTCTTCACCACTTGTATTCTGCTTTTCTCACAAACTTTAATAATTTATTCAGAGTAAGAAAAGAAAAGCTGAATGGAGCTGTAGTGAACAGGCCATTTTGGAGGACCACTAGATGGCTCATAACAATTTGGAAAAAGAAAGAAATCCATTTTGTTTCTGCTATTGTTAAACAACTGAGGGCAGGGACCCTTGTCACTGAGTGATCCTCCATGTAAATCTTGATCTGCTTTCTGACTTTGAAGCTCTGAAATTAGAGCCTCTCAAACTCTTAAGATCAGTGGGAACTAGGGTGCTTCTGGGAAGAATATTCCTAGCGCTAACAATCAAAAGGCATTGTGTAGCTATTTCATCTTTCTTTCTAACTGATTTTTTTTGTGGAAAAAAGATGGAAGAAGCAGTGGAGAAGCACACAGAAGATTACAAATGGAAGGTGACCTGCCTGCCTTTCATTTTATTGCTTTATTTTACTGATATGTAAGCTACTCTGGGAACCTTTGTGGGTGAGAAGTAGGATAAATATACTATACATAAATACATATTGCCATTTTTTACCTACTCTGTAACTGAGTATAACAGGATATGGGGTGTTAAAGAGCATCTCTCCATCTACTGTCAACTA